ACAGGGACATTATGATATTGGCTGATTTGTTTTCAATTCCCTTCCTGTAAATTAAACTCTGCCACTGAGCAGGAAGGGTCTATGGCATGCTCCGCTGTAGGAAAAGGACGGGGGGGTTTGCTTGATGAGACAGGCAGGAAGTGCTTATTTCAAAATGGCATCCATTTAGTCTGTTTATGTGGGGGCTGGATTTGTGCATTAGGCTTGCCAACCTCCAGGAGGGGCCTGGAGATCTCTCAGAATTACAGTTGAGCTCCAGACTACAGAGAACTCTATGGTATGATTAAAACATAAGAGAAGCCATGTTGGATCAGACCAATGGCCCATCCAGTCCAACAGAGAAGAAGAAGAAGAAGAGATTGGATTTATACCCCGCCCTTCACTACCCAAAGGTGTCTCAGAGCAGCTTACAAACTCCTTTCCCTTTCCCTCCCCACAACAGACACCCTGTGAGGTAGGTGGGGCTGAGAGAACTCTGACACAAACTGCTCTTTTTCAAGAACAGCTCTTATCAGAGTTACGGCTTGCCCAAGGTCATCCAGCCAGGTGCAAGTGGAGGAGTGGGGAATCAAACCCGGTTCTCCCAGATTAGAGTCCGCGCACTTAACCACTACACCAAACTGGCTGGTGTGATGTGGTCCATGGGGTCGCGAAAAGGCGGACTCGACTGTGGGACAGAACAACAACAAAATTACATTGTTATCCCTCCCTCCCTCCAATGAGCACAGGGTTCTCTCCTCCCCCATCTTATCTTCACAACAACCCTGTTAGGTGGGCTAGACAGAAAGAGTAAGCGTAACTGGCCCAAGATCGCCCTTGTGTCACATCTCTTCGTTCTCCTTTGCTCTCTCACTAAATTTATCTGTTTGTTACAGCAGGTGATGGATGGGTGATTGAGAATGATGGGGACCCCCTTTGGATGCCCCTGAAGGCAGAAGGCACCCCCAGAAACCGAGAAAGACAGAAAGGGGGCGGAAGAAGCCAAACAGAGAATCGGAAACAAAGGTCCGTCACTGGCCAGAATGGTGGCATCTTCGAGATCTCTGTCCCACAAGTGGCACATGAAGAGACGCAAAAGAATATATGCACCATTTGTGGGAAAACATTTATTCACCTGTCAAGCCTTCATAGACATCAGAGAAACCACCATCCGGAAGTGAAGCCGCTTTCCTGTTCAGATTGTGGGCGGAATCTGGGCCCGGTGGCAAACTATAGAAGACTTGAGACCACACCTGCAGGAGAGAAGGTGTATAAATGCTTTAAGTGTGAGAAGAGACATTCTCTCAAACGTAATAGCCGCAAGAGAAGTAGTATGGGGAAGAAGCCACACAAATGCTTGGATTGCAATTACACCTTCAGCTGCCTGTCACACCTTGTCAGACATCAGAGAATCCACACGGGAGAGAAGCCCTATACCTGTTCAGCCTGTGGGAAGAGCTTCCGTCAGACTGCGCACCTTGTCAAACATGAGAGGACGCACAGCGGACAGAAACAGTATTTATTCTGACATTTGGAATAGCAGGACAGTGTTAGTTAGAGATGCATCCTCTCACTTGTTTGCAATGGTGAAGATGTGCATTCATTTCCTAACGAACAAACTGGAAAAGCCTCATTCATTAGTTCAGTTCATTTTTCGTGGTGCTTGGCACTCTGGTTAGAGGATTCAAAGATGTCAGAGAGAGAAAGCAGGAGATAAGGAACTGACATAAAAGCTTTCCAATCAGCAAAGCCAAACAGATTTATCATCTCACAAGAAAAGAGTAAGAGTCCAGTAGCACCTTAACAAAATTTATGGTTGGGTGTGAGCTTTCATGAGTCACTGCTCACTTCTTCAGATACCGGTTATCTGAGGAAGTGAGCAGTGACTCACGAAAGCTCATCTACCACAAATGTTGCTAGTCTTTAAGGTGCCACTGGACTCTTACTCTTTTCTATTGCTACAGACAAACATGGCTACCCATCTTGACCAATCTCACAAGAGAAGAGGTTCCAGAGAAGGGGAAGAGAGTCAGGGGCAGGCAAGAGACAAGGAATAAAGAGAAAGGCTTTTCCATTGAGGGAAAACGTTAATTCTGAAAGCTAATGATAATGGATACCACAAAAACCCAGTGGAGGTTCTGAAATGGGAAAAAAGGGGGAGGGGATATTGCACATCCCTGTATTCCACAGGTTTTAATGTGGGTGCTTACATTTGGACTGCGCAAATGAGGTTTGTAGTTATCAAGACATCTGTGGCGACTAAAGAATAAGCTGCAGGTGACTAGGCAAGGGAGATTAGTTGTTAAAGTGGAAAAAAGTTGTTTTTATTTGTTTTTCTGCTCCTGGCTTTCAGTCTGCCAGAAATAACTCATAGGTCTGCGTAGACGTGCAGACCTGTGAAATATTTTGACCTGGTCCCGTGCAGCGTTAAGCCCAGTGATTTTGATAGCAGAAGGGACAAATGGATTTTCTGTCCTTCATTCTGGCATTTCTCTCTCCCAAGCTGCCTTATACTGGTAAGAGCATCGGCGGCTTGCCACAAATGAAGCCCACATGTGGGGGCAGAGGGACCAGAGCTTGACAAAGTATTACTGACCCCCAGGGGTCCTTTCGTAGAAAAAGAGGTGCAGGAGCTCATTAGCATAAGTGTGTCAGAAGGCAACACCCACTGCTCAGGCTCCACTGGACTGTTTTGAATTGCTAGCTATTGGTGGGGGGGGGACGTGCAGATCTGTCCTCGCAGAGGAGGGAGAGCTTGTACCTGAATAAAACTTGGCCTTAAAGGTGCCACTGGACTGTTTTGGACCGGGGGGCCAGGGGGAGCTCTGCAACTTACCTGGCTGCTTCTTGCTCTGACTGAGGGCTGCTGGGAGCAGGGGGCGGGCTTGTTGCGTGTGCCCGCCCCCTGGGCTCACTACTGCCGGAGCTCCGCTCCTGTGCGCTCCTGCAGGAAATGACCCCCGCTGACCCCCATCCCAACACAAACTGTACGCATGATTCCTCCAGTTGGTGACAGGATATACAAAGAAGGGAAGTGAGCACGCTGGCCACCCCCCCGCCTCTGCGTGATTGGCTGTTCGTGAGCACAGGGTCCCCCACACAGAGGTGGTGCCCAGGCATATACTCCCTCCTTGTTACCGGCAATGTTCCGAAAACAGCACCTTCCACAGGGAGGGACCCTAGATGTGGACTCTGTGCACAGGCTGGTGGCCCCATTCTCCCTCTCCCCGTGTTCAGTCAACATGTGGAGGGATCGTGCCCACGTATGATCATCAGAAGGTCTCTGCTGGATCAGACCAGCCGTCCGTCTAGCTCAGCATCCTGCTTCACACGGTGGCCAACTAGTTACTCTGGAAGGCTAACAACAGGGCACAGAGGCCGAGGCCTTCCCCAGATGTTGCCACCTTCCCCTGACTCTACTCCAAATCTCCAGGAATTTCCCACCCCAGAAGTCCATGAGTCGCTCTTGCTCACTCACAGCTTTAATGCCAGTAGCTCACAAAGTGAATTTTTGCTCACAGGACTCCACAACTTAGAGGGAGCATTAAGGGGAAGACTTCGTCTGGGTCAGTGATGTTCTGTATTCTTGGTGCTTGGGGGGGGCCATAATGGGAGGGGCTTCCGGAATTCTGGCCCTGCTGATGGACCTCCTGATGGCACCTGGGTTTTGGCCACTGTGTGACGCAGAGTGTTGTGTTCTCTATCTGGTCTCTCCCATTTTTCAAGCTAAACCTACCCTGTTCCCTCACTCTT